CCCGTTTTGTTTAGAAAAGTTTCAAAGCTAGTTTAAGTTTGTATTGTTATTAAACAAAAAGATGGAATAAAACATTGAAGCTGCCTTTCTGCACCGAAATGGCCAGGGAGATGTGGATCACAGAGGCTTAATTTTACCAGAGAGACCAGAGATTGCCTTATCAATTTTAGGTTTCAGAATCAAATAATTAGGTTATGGGTTAGAAGTTAGAACCTGTCCGTGCGATGTTAGTAGTGTTGCCAAAGTTCAAATTAGCCCAAACAATTTTCACATTAAATCCGTAATTATGCAATAATGGCGTAAATTAATCAGTGAAAAAGTTTTATTTAAAGTTACAATACATTTCTTATTCTATTATAGCCGCTTATTTTCTTAATAATATTAGAAATAAGTCAAATATGTCAACATCGTCGATAACGTTACCGCTACTCGTACGTAAATAAAGGAACACGTTATCTCTAATAACGTAAATGGTTATTTCTTTACTAATGCGCATACTCAGAATAACGGATAACGTAAAACGTGTTGCAATTAAGAGCCCTAAAAACTCCCTATTACCACTTCCTTACCTTTTCATGTACACCAATCATTCAATATACTTAACTATTTAATATAAAATATATCGTAATTAGTAATACCCAGATGATATATTTTCACTACTTTTCCGATTCTCATCATAATTCCAATTAACCGATTAAGAACTCACCCGCGTTCATAGACATCCATAAAGAAACCAAAGCTGAAAATACTTTATTGAGAAAATACCCGATTATTTTATTTTCTTTGCATGCATACATAATTAATTTGATATTTCAAACCGCCGGCTGCCATCAGTGTCGTCTACTATGTCTTATATGGACGTAACTCAGCTAAGTTTTGAACCTTGAATGAATGAATTTTTTATTTTCATTGTGATGTTCTACTTTGGTGGCAGTTCGGCAACATGGCTAACCAGTATGCCATTTTCGGTTGCGCGTACCGTGCGTACGGGCATGTGCGCGTGCCACAGCAGACTGTATCGTAAAGGATTACCCAAATTTATTGCAAAGTAACGCTTTAGTTTCTTTAAACCTATTTTTCGATAATCACGAATTCTTCTGTGATGGGTTGTAATAGTTTTAATAAACAGTCAATCAATTCGCAGCAATGTCGAAGGATTGAATTGGAAATGAAACAGTTAGGTAAAATGGAATGGACCTACTTGCACTTCCGTAGTCGTTTTCGATGGGTTTTGGTCCCTTGGATTGCTGGTCGTGGTCGCCGCTTGCTATTGCAATGAAGTTTTATGAAATCCAGTTCGTTAAGACCAAAAATGGTGGATCAGTGGAGTGTATTTTGTGGTAGAAAATAAAGACATGTACTTATTGCCGTTCTCTACACTTCTCTAATATTAATCTCTAAATTTTTACATCAATCATATACGTCAAAAATTACATCCTGTTCCGCCATGCGATGTTGCCAAAGTATTATCCAGATATGTTTTGAACTAATTTTAGATGATCATATACATTTCAAAATCTAGTCGTGTTTTCTCAACTACATTTTTTGTCTCAAATTCAAAGCCTAGTTCATAGGCTCACTATGACTTAATTGATTTTGCTTTATTTATTTATTAATTTGCGAGTATATTTTAGATATAATATTATATGGTTTTCGAATGTGGGGGGGAGGGGGGCTAAAAAGATATTGTGCCCCGGGCGCGAGTGAAGCTCGCTACGCCACTGCATATCTTCAGAAATGGAAAAATGTACTAAAATATCATCAGTGCCGTAGCAACTTACTTAACTCAGCCCCCCCACGTTCGAATTAATTCAACCCAGAAATGTTTTGTTCTGCGGACCATTTGGCGCCCCTTTGTGGGTAGCGCCCGGGGCACGATGCCCCCTTTGCCCATCCCTCGCTACGCTTCTAAATGTAATTGAATCATGCCGTTTGTTAAAACATGTTTCTTTATATCCCGCGTCCGGCTGTAACCGGAATATCCGATATGGTCTAGTGGCTAGGATACCTGGCTTTCACCCAGGAGGCTCGGGTTCGATTCCCGGTATCGGAATATTTTTGTAACCATTTTCAAAATCGAGTTTTTAGTTTTTACTATTATTTTTAAGCGCGGGTTAAGCGCGAGTTTTTAAATTATTTTTTTTTAGCAAAAATTTAGTTACCGCAGTTAAACTACTGGGATGTGAGCGTCTTTTAATTTTTCCTTTTTCGATCATTTACTGAACTTAGAAGTTTATTTACTTAATGAGGTCTTGTAATTGGTAAAAACCTTTGCAAACTAAACTAACCTGGTGATAAATAAAAATATTCTTCGATTTAAAACCAAATAGACTATTTACTGGTTAATAACAAAGCCATACACAAATCCTCCCACATACTATTACATTATGCTAACGACACGACACTGATTGTACAGCACAATACAATAGCGAAAGTTATCGAAAAACTTAAGTCTTAAGTCTAAGTACAAACTGTATAATTTCAATGAAAACGGTATATTAAAGAAAAATATTGAATTAGAAGTTCTAGGAGAAATACAAAAAGCGATAAAGAAAAATGCAGAGACATGGTCATTCGAATTAGAACAAGTGAAAAGCAAAAAGTGCTGCCTGGAATCAAGAAAAGATAATATAACAACATATACAAATGGAGCCCGAGTTAATTAACTGAAAAGTAGATTACAGAGGCACTAGCTTGTTTGGAGTTAACCATTCAAATGTTTGGTGTTGTATGGATTATTAAATTACAAATTTTGTAAACACCAAACCCCGCAGAATTCGAGGTTATGAGAACAGGTTGACATTTCGTCAACAGATCTTGTTGAATTTACCGTTTATCCTTGTCTATCTTATTGTCAGTCTGTATAATTCCATAGTTACCGGAGTTTTAAATAATTACGAAGCAACAAGTATTTGCGCAATGTTAATTAGGCAGATTACTTTGAAAAATATTGCTGCCGTATTTCTGATATAGTTTTTTGCAAATTTCTCAAATATTAATTAATTTCTTTATAACAATTAATTAAAAAGTAACAGAAAAAATAACAATTCATTTCTTTTACTATTTTTTCTGTACTCCTATAACAGCGCCAGACACCACCTCCAGAGGAATGACAATTCCAATTTTGAATGACCCTGTACAGAAAAGACGGTATTAACTTCAGAAAAACTAAGTACCAACCAATCTTGCATTTTAATATTTCGCATTGAATGTTTGTATCAGAAACGAAATATCTGTGAGTGGGACATTTTTTGAACTCAAAAAAACAACCTACTTTTTACTTGTGAACCATTCTTAATACATTCAAGACGGTTGATGCGGATTCATCTTTTCAAAATATTTTGACGAGGATTCATTTATTACACACATTAATAAAGWTAATATTTTTTTACGACCAATAGTTAGTAGTATAACGTATAAAGTCATATACATGATGTAGGGAAACCGATTTTAATTATTTTAATTTTCCTTCCTATATTAAAATTTAAGCCCGAAATGTGATAAGTCACGTTATGTTCAATGAAATAATAATTTTTGTTAACAAAGTTTGTGAATATGATCAACCTTATCCCCGTTTTTCAGTAACATATTTATGGAAAGTGTTGAAACTAATTGCATATATAATTACAAAATAATTACATATTTAAAACCAATATTTGGTGGCAATATATTGATGATGTAATTCAATTTTATAGTCATGGGGAACGCAAACTTGACAAATGTATATCACAACTGAACAATAGATAACCAACAAATTAAATTCACTATTACATAGGCGCAAAATAACTACATTTCTTTTATCGATATATTGAGAAATATTTTCACAATGTCGCCACTTTGATATATAGAAAACTCAATCATACAAATCAATATTCAAATTTTAGCAAATCACAAGAACATGGGAAATTTTCCAAGAGGGTATTTTATGTTTTCTGCTAATAACGTTTTTAGAATTAACATTGAGT